TAAAGGTAAAAAAATAAAATTAAAATTTATTAGATAATTATTAATTAAAAAATGTGACCACAAATTAAAAAATTAAAATGGATAAATTTGTCAATAAAATTAAAAAATTTTAATCCGTTAGCGGTTTAGACCCTAACTGTTATCCGCTAGTTTCAAACTGCTAAATAAAAATTTTACTAAACATTTTATTTGTAGCGGTTTCAAAATATATGAATTTGCCAAACACCTATATTTAGCGGTTTAGGTAAAATCGCTAACCACTACCTCAAAACCGTTATACCAAACAGACCCTTAAGGGGAACCGAGCTCCTTCTACTCAGATCAATAGATTGTTAGTATTCTTCTATCTTTATGAGATTATTAGGAATGCATATATTCCTTTTCTTTTTCCTTTTCATACATATAAATCTAGGTTAAAATCAACTTTTAACTGCTAACCTTATAATATGACACTTTTAGCTATTTACTTTACAAAATTGATATGTTTTAACCACTCACCTTACAAATTTGATAGGTTTTAACCACTCATCTTACAAAATTGATAAATTTTAGCCCCTCACATTATATTATGACACTTTTAGCCCCTTATTTGTACGAACTGAAGAAAATAACTCTTATTTAACATCAGGTTATAATATTTTATTAGTTCTATTAGCTAATTTTCAATTCTATTAACTGACTGTTAGCATCCGTTAACATTCCGTTAATAAAACTAACAAATAAAATAAAATTTTAATTTTATATTTTTTATAACAGAATACTAATGGATGTTAATAGTTAACTAACAAAACTAATAGAACGTTATAATCTGATGTTAGGTGATGGCTATTTTCTTTAATTCGTATTGATGAGGGGTTAAAAATATCATAATATAAAATAAGGGATTAAAGCTTACCAACTTTGTAAGGTGATGAGCTACAACTTATCAATTTTGTAAGATAAAGAGCTAAAACTATCATGTTATAAAGTGAGGGGTTAAAAACTACCAATTTTGTAAGATGAGGGGTTAGATGTTGGTTTTTGCCTATAAATCTGTTCCTTCCCTCTTTCCTTTTCATACATATAAATCTGTTCCTTCCCTCTTTCCTTTTCATACATATACATATGTTCCTTACGTCATAAGAGATCAGTATAATTACTTCATTATCAGTGTAATTAGCTGCAATGGAGAGTGTATAGCAATTTACTGACTCACAGCTTCCATTACGCAAAGGCCAAGTAAATGCCTGTAATTGTATATGGTTCAACATTGAAATG